CTGTGTACGTGCATGTATCCGTGCATATGTGCGTGCCTGCGTGTATGTAGTGTGTATCTGTGTACGTGCATGTATCCGTGCATATGTGCGTGCCTGCGTGTATGTAGTGTGTATCTGTGTACGTGCATGTATCCATGCGTGAGTTTGAATGCATGCAGGCTTTGTTGAAAAAACAAAAGGTTTAAATACGAGGCTATATCGTTTCTCTCTATCGCAGAGAAGCGTGATAGATACCCCTGATAGCGTGCACCGTGTCGGCGTTGTAAAATGTGCTGACTCACGCCATCCGACGCTGTTAGCGCATGTAATCCCCCGTGCGCAATGCTCCGTTTAGATCAGTCTCGAATCATAATCAATCCGAGAATCATTGAATCCAAGATCATAAATGGTAGCCAAACTGCGTGACCAGTGTGCAGTGTCTCTACTGCTGCCAGCCCAATATGGATTGTGTAATTTAGCTAGTTTCCAGTACATTTGAAAGGCCAGTAATACGTACCAGGGGTTAATAATAATGACATTGAAATTGAATCTGACATTTATTTGATATGAATATGTCATTATGGTAATATCTATCTATGTGCATTACTGCTTACGCTTCACCAGCCTAACTTCGCAAGTATTAAACGATATAAATATATTTACTCGGCATTCTATTTATTTATTTCCGGCTTTTAGAACAAGCTTAAAATCGCTACCCGTATCCTTATCGTGATCCCATACATAGATAGATTATAAGTACCGGTGGTTGTTATATAGAGTCGATCAGCATGTAACACGTACTGAATCAATGCGATCATAATAGCGGCGTTTGAACGTCACGTGTTCATGAAATCCACGTGTCGCTGATTGGTTGGCAGCGTCGGCATGGTTTGCGTGTTAATTACGTTCACGATGGGGGGAGGGGGGTGTATTGTCTACGCATGCCTTCATGATCGGAGCGGCTTAGCTGCGCCTTGCCTGCAGATCACTGGTCATTGTAAACTCGTCACCGTCGGTTCTGGCTCTAGTTTCTCTAGTTCAACGTGTTTCCGACAGACAGGCGAAGAGAACGTGAGAGAAACCATTGCGAGAAACGTTGGGCATTCGATGTTTATGATTACTATGAACGCCATGTCGTACTGCAAGAGTCGTCTTCAGGGCCGAGCGATCAACAGAAAACTAAATTACGATATCTGCTTCTGTTTTTGGCTGACTTTGCTTTTCGTTCTGCTATGCACGACGTGTGGTACCCAGGCGGCAAAATATCAACTCCAATTAAAGGGAGGAGCTGTTAGAGGTTGTCTTCTTGAGACGATGATGGTCAGAAGGATGCCCCAGTGCGCATTCTTTTGCGGCCGCACCCCGGGCTGCACCGGTTATAACATAGAGAACACCGCGGCAACCCATAAACACTGTGAGTTGAGCGCCTACGCAGACACTGAAGTCAACGCTACAATTTACTACGATAACAACTATGACTTCTATGCGAAAGGTATGTAATTATATTTCAATTGCGCTGTAATTATTTTTAGGTGTGCGAGTGAATGATCTCAGGAATACAAAATAACCGTAACTCGAACTAAAATATTTGTTTTCGTCTCTACAACGTACAAACTATCTTGAAACTATTCAACTGAGGTTGTAGTTTTGTTAATTTTTTTATATTACTTTGTCATTTTGTTGGTTTGATTTAAAATAACTGTATCAGTTACCCCCCCCCCTCCGGAGACAATTACACCCCAGACAATTCCCCCGGGACAATTACCGCCATCTGGGGACAATCAATTCCGGACACTTACTCCCTGAGCAATCACTAACATTGGGGTAACCATGTTTCAGTAAACAGCGGACTATGCCCTGCAGACTTCGTGGAATTCCGTGGAAATTGTTACTACACTGAGACACTCAACACGAAGCCTTGGCAAGAGGCACGTGACCACTGCATCAGCATAGGAGCCGACCTCGTCAGTCTGGAATCACCGGGAGAAATCGATTTCTTGACGGCTCATTTCCCAACATACTGGTGGACCGGTGGCAACGACATCGCAGTGGAGACTCAATGGGTGTGGGCTGCTACAGGAAGACAGGTAGACGAGTGTCACCCACTACCGTGGGCTCAAACACCCGGTGTTGCAGAAGAAAACGATCACGTATTGTGTAATGGTAAGATGATGCATGAAAGTAATGGTAGGAGATCTCCGGCTAATTACGCCTGTGAATATTCGCCATGAATCAGATCACGGCGTCTGTCAGCTAGCGTTGTTATGTGTGGTTGTTATTTATATGTTGTTGTTGTTGTTGTTGTTGTTGTTGTTGTTGTTGTTGTTGTTTATTTGAGGTTAGCGTGTTGTAATTTCGCGCGTTAAGTGCGTCCGTCATATGTGGTATTTAATTTACGCTATAATTATATTAAATTTTTAGTTATTATCGTTTAATTCTTTATTTTATTTATTATATTTTTATTTATTCATTTACAAAACTTACAAATCNTGGATGGCCTACTATATTTATGACCACGTGTTTCTGATTTACGTCTTGCATATTTGACATAAAGCATAGCTTTTTTGCATACTATTGCATTTTAAATTGCAAATACAAATTGATGCTTTCTTTTAATTTACTCATTTAAACAGGTTTGCGAATTACGCATGTATAAACTTAACACTACATTTACGTAGTGGCCGATGGTGCTTATAAGTACTATCATTGCACACATTTACATTAACATAACATTTTGCTGTTGTCAACACGCAATTATAACGAAATTATAGTAAACTTACGTAGAAAATTTTTAGTTGCTTTTAATTCGTGGTTTAGCGGTTTATAGATTTGTGATTGGGGCGGTTTTTATTTTGAATCATCATTGTCATCATCATCGTCGTCGTCGTCATCGTCGTCGTCGTCATCGCCATCATCATCATCATTACCATCATCATCATCATCATCATCATCATCATCATTATTATTATCACCATTATCATCATCGTCGTCGTCATCATCATCATCATCATCATCTCCATCGTCATATTCGTCGTCATCATCATCATCATCATCATCGTCGTCGTCGTCATCATCATCATAATTTCCATCGTCATCGTCGTCGTCGTCATCATCATCATCATCATCATCATCATAATAATAATAATACTCATCATCATAATCATCATCATCTAACTGACGTTAGTTCACCACTGTTCAATGAAGATGATGATAATGATAATGATTATCATTATCATCATCTTCATTGAACAGTGGTGAACTAACGTCAGTCGATTGTTGCCTTGTGACTGTGGTTGTCGATTGTCGATTGTGCATGATGACTATTGTATGAATTTTGCACAGGGGAGACATAGTGATCCGCTAGGGGACGGCTCTGATTGGCAAATTTTGTCTCTTATTTATTTTATTTTTTAATATTTTTGGCTAATTTTGTTTGATTTTAGAATTAGGTATAGGGTTAGGGTTGGGTTAGGGTTAGGATTAGGGTTAGTGTTAGGGTTAGGGTTAACTGATTTCTATATCCACAACTTATTTCTATATTCACTATCTCTCCCCTGAGACCTACTACTATTGTATCACTTAGCCGATATGTGTACCTATATCGTCAGCATATTTTCCATTTACAATTCTGAGCTTAAGGTTTATAAATAACAATCGAAAAAATGATAGTACCTAAATTATATTCAAATTCCTCAAATTTACCCCGTTTTTATTCACTACTGATTCTATAATATAAAGAGTGTTATGATGTACCAGACAAATCGGGTAAAACCCGTGATATATGCCTATGCCACCGTATGGTGCTTGTGTTTGAAGAATGTTATTAGTGTTTGCTAGACTGCTCGTGTTATTAATAGCTTTGATTCTCTCATTAATTTTTATCGTGTTGAAATATGTTATTGTTATAGTATTTCACTTACCTTTATCCCATACCTAAGTATAGCCAGGTAAAATTCCTCATTATTTTAGTATTAATATTACATAACATAAATTAACTAGGCCGTGGCTACGCGTCCGGTTACCGGACGCCCAGCTCCCAGGCTACACGTCCGGTTACCGGACACCAAGATCCCAGGCTACACGTCCGGTCATATATTTATTATGTGAACCCAACTATATTTTTTCGGTAAAAAACAATAAACAATAAGTTTTTACCATAATATTACTTAGCTTTAGAGATTTTATCAAAAAAATTTGTTTTTGTTACCTTTGAAGCAATAGTAATTAAATCCAGTAAAATCAACGATTTGAAAGGGGGCGTGTCCTAATCGTGACGTGGATTTGGAAATCTGTGCTGAGCTTTGTAATGGATGACCGGACGCGTAGCCACTGCGAATTAAATAACATTAAATAATATGTACTTTTTGGGTTTAACCGGTTAAAATACATTCCTATTTTAGTATTTAAATTGCAGGTACTCCTCGTGTGTGGTTAGCCATCATACTCAGAAGTAGTTATTTTTTACTGAACCACTGTCAAATTATTGCCCCTTTACACAATCAGAGATCTTGCTCCACATAATTTAACCGCAGTAAAAATATTTTATCCGCGGTTAAATTATGTGGAGCACGACCTCTGATTGGGTAAAAGGTCTATAATCCCGGGCTATAATTTAATCGTGACTAAATTATTTCTGCTGCGGTAAAATAATTGTTTCTAAGTACAGTGGCCAACCACGCGTACTCTTGCGGCGTGTGGTGTGTGTTTATCTTACCAATATTTGTGTCCTTCTCGTGTTTAAATATCTAATTAGTGTGGTTTATGATTACTTATAATTCTCGCGTTTCCGTATTTATATCTGCCTTTACCTATAAATCGCGTGTTTAGTCAGTATAAAATTAACCACCCAATTAATGTACGTAAGCACAGTATAATGAAATGAGTCTAATATGTAAAGCGTAGTGAAATTGAGTAATAGTAATTTAAATCTACTCATCAATCTATAACTACTATNGGACGCGTAGCCACTGCGAATTAAATAACATTAAATAATATGTACTTTTTGGGTTTAACCGGTTAAAATACATTATTATTTTAGTATTTAAATTGCAGGTACTCCTCGTGTGTGGTTAGCCATCATACTCAGAAGTAGTTATTTTTACTGAACCGCCGTCAAATTATTGCCCCTTTACACAATCAGAGACCTTGCTCCACATAATTTAACCGCGGTAAAAATAATTTATCCGCGGTTAAATTATGTGGAGCACGACCTCTGATTGGGTAAAAGGTTTATAATCACGGGCTATAATTAAATCGTGACTAAATTATTTCTGCTGCGGTAAAATAATTGTTTCTAAGTACAGTGGCCAACCACGCGTACTCTTGTGGCGTGTGATGTGTGTTTATCTTACCAATATTTGTGTCCTTCTCGTGTTTAAATATCTAATTAGTGTGGTTTATGATTACTTATAATTCTCGCGTTTGCGTATTTATTTCTGCCTTTACCTATAAATCGCGTGTTTAGTCAGTATAAAATCAACCACCCGATTAATGTACGTAAGCACAGTATAATGAAATGAGTCCAATATGTAAAGCGTAGTAAAATTGAGTAAAATTAATTTAAATCTACTCATCAATCTATAACTACTACGGGCGATATGACACGAAATCAAAAGTGGTATGTAACACTGATAGCAAGCTGTCGCTCTCGGCGTTAGATCGTAGGCACTAACAAATGACGAACTAGTTTGGAAATACTATTAATTGTTTTTATTTGCGCAAGCTAGAGGCATAACTTGTAACAACTGATGACTGTATTAAAGTAAGCTCAAAACCACACAGATTTTTATACATATTTACTCGTCTGATACGCACTCTGAGGGGGCTGCCATTTTACTGGAATGTAGCACCGTGATTGGTGCATAGAGCCACCCATTGACCGAATTTTACCATTTTAGCGAAAAACTAAAATGGAATTTTTAAAACGCATACGTCATAAAATAATATGCCATAATTTGAAATGAAATAAATTGAATGTGAAAATTTATTACCAATTATCAGGATAATATAATTATATAATATCCAGATTCATGCCTAGTTCCACGAAGTATTAAACAAATTCATACAACAATCACGGTTGACCCATGTTTCGTTAATTGTGTGCTCGTGTGTACAACCAGAACGACCGATAGAACAACTTTATTGTTACGCCAGAGCATATAAATCAACGAGCATATAGTCACTCAGTGCAATTCAGTGCAGTTGATTTACATGTTCCGGTTATTCTATTTTCATGAAGTATCAAACAAATTAATACAATAATACAATAATCACTGTTGGCCCACGGTCTATCACCGTCTATCATAACCGCATAAAGATTAGTCTTCGAAGTTTAAAAGACTATATCGAAGATAGAAAGAGACAAAGTTGATCAAATAGACAGATCCACACTGCCGATCGCAGTGGATAGTCGATCATAGCGTTCATAAGCA